TTCATTCAAAAGGACCGCCGCCCTGAGCATCATATAACACATTTAATAACGCGCACAACGCAATGGCGAGAGCTCCCGCCGCAATTCAGCGATACGTTAATTAGCTTCCTGCTTCCTGGTAACGAGCTGTCGTTTGTTTGAAAGGCACTTGCCGATCATGCTCGCAGATAGTCTACCTACGCAAACCAAAACGCAATTGTTCGAAGATAACGCTGCGAAGCACAACAACACCATTCAATAGCGGCGAACAACAGACGCACCAATGGGCTTTAATCAGCACAGAGGAAATGCTTAACGTTTGCAAATCCGGCCGGAAAATAGAAAATATCAAATAACGTGAATTCTATTATACGGATATTGAGTTCAAAAATGTGTGCGTTTGAAAGCATTGTAGAAACGCATTACGCGAGATTACAAAATGTGTATTTCTATAAAGATTTCCATAAAGATTTTCGCAAGTCTTTTGAAGCGTCTATGAAAATGCTACATCACAGAGAGTGCACTCGGCGCCATGTCCAAAATGATTCTTATTGAGTAAAGGTCATGGGAATACACGCCTCACGAACGGATTTGCGTATTTGCACCGAACACATCACAAACGATCTGGTGTGTAAACTCGAGCGGTATTTCGACATCGGATAAGGTACACACGGCGAGGTTCACAGCGCCAACCTGCACATGTTTGCGCAAGAGACCCTTGCGGAATCGGCCGGCCCCACGACACCCACAACCCTATAGTGCCCCGTTATCTCGCGCGCATATAAGCAGTCCTACAAGTTGTAAATCTTAGGGCTGTAGGCTAGGCACGTTGTTTATATTAATTCAAATCCTCGAGCCGCGCGAGGCGCGCAGGCCGATTGCCGAGTGACAAGAAACCCTAGGAATAGACGTGCCGGAAGATAAAGGCCCACAACGACCCATACAGTTGAATCTAGGTGGGATTAATGTGGGAACATCTGTTTTGGGGCACAATCTGTGTGAGGTAAAATCAAAATTGTCAGTTTTTACGATTTGCGAAGAATTTACAAAAAAATTTTATTTTTTTGGAAAATTTGGATAAAAATTATATTTTTAGTTGTAATTATTTACTGAAACACTTGGTATAATTATAGACGTAAATTTTAAGTTAAAAAAACGTAAAACTTGGGATTTATTGGACATAATTTGTGAAATTTAAATTAATTTGTGTAAAAATACAATCTAATTATATATGGTAGGCAACTTTCGATACACCATAGTTCAGGAAGTGACGTCAGACTTAAGTTAGTAGCTCTAAATAGTGTTTTATAAATTTTATAAATTTTTTTATTTTATTTATATTAAAATATTGAACAATTAGCATTTTTTGGCTCAAAATTCATCAAATAAATATAAAATTTTCCAAATTTACGGTATCACTCATTATATACCTCTTCCCAAACATTCCTTCACGGCTACAATAAAATTTTCCACGTTATGATGTTCTTTGAAGCAAAATATTTTGCCAAATTCAGTGTTTGAAGAACAAGAAAACCATTAGCATATAAATAATATATAAAGTAAAACTTAAGCAAGTGGGAACTTAAAAGCTGGTAAACTGCCGCTGCCGTTGCCGCCGCCGATATCTCCAATTACGACATACTAGACGCTCGCCGTGCGCACATACCACCCTCAATTGGTCCCAACCAAGCAACCTTTTAGAGGGTGTCTAATGTTACTCGCCCGGTATCAGCGCCCGCGCGGCGCAAGCCGGTAATCACAAACTGCTCTTAAGGTTGCCGCCTACGCATTTAAGAGGTTCGAATAATACATGAGCTCGCCGGTTAATACGGGAACTTTAAGCGGCTTTAAACGCAGCCAGCGAGGCGCAGGCGGTGCGTACTTCGTGTGCGCCACACTCGCAGATTTCGACAGTTATGGTTAATATAAGCGCCGCCGCCGCCGCCGCCGAATGCCGACTCCCGAACTGAACTGCATTAGCGATTCGCTGGGAGAGATAACAGCTGGGACGCCGCTGCGAAAACATCCAGCGTGTGGTGTGGTAGAGGCCGCTTTAATAAATGCGCCGCCTCGTTGTTTTTCCAAAGCTCGGGGACGGCGCGTCATAAAACAATGACATAAATTGTGTGTCGGGAGGTTTTCGCAACGCAGCACGCTGCTAAGTGTTTCTAATTATTCCGCGGGCGTTTACATCGGCTTAGCGTGCTTTCATATTTATTTTATTAACAATCATTGTTAAACGTACTTAATCTACGGGCAATAATATTTATAAGGTGATGTAAAATATTTATCTATGCATTAATCATGGAAAACAGTGTTTTGCACTGAGAAGCGTTGAAAACAATGATTTCTACTCTAGATATGTAATGAAATATTACGAATCTGGAATGGAAATAATTAAAAAGGTTTTTAATTTTTTTGATTTAGATTGCAAGAAAACACTGTTTTCTTCATGGAAGTGTTGAAAACAATGTTTTCGGCTCTAAATATGTAATGGATTATTACAACTATAGAGTGAAAAACATTATATTATGATTATTTTATGATTTTTTGTGTGATTTGTAAAAAAACACAATTTTTTTCATAGAAATGTTGGAAACAATGTTTTCCGCTCTAGATATGTAATGAGTTATTACGACCACGTGCTTAATTTACGGATAATAATATTTATAGGGTGATGCAAATGATTTTCTCAACATAAAACTTCAAAAACACTGTTTTCTGTACACCTGTGTGAAAAACAATGTTTTCTACTCTAGGCATGTAATGAACTATTACGACACTAGAGCGAAAAACATTATATAATATTTCTTTACGACCTTTACATTGAATTGCGCGGCTAATTAAATTTTATTCGTTATGATAAAACATTAAGTTGTGTACTCGAATACAATCAACATCAAAAAGTGTAGCGTAAACAGCACAGAAAGGAGAAGAAGCGCATGTTCCGGCGTACACAATGTCTAATTATAAATTTATTTTGTATTCTCTTTGCCAGCCCAGAGCGATAGACTCAGCGTGCGCACGGCGTATTTTTGTTTGCTGCGCGTTAGAACAAATGGCCGCCGGCGTATAATTTGCAATTATCTCCCCGAATTTACAATGTAATTCCAAAGAGGCCAACATACTTCACAAAATGCGCGCGGCTGCCACGATCGTAAGAAATTTATTCACTCCCACACACCACTCTTGGCAAAGTGGTGTATTTATTATTCGACTGCATAATTACTGCGTTCCGCCTGATTTATTGTGTTTGCATTCACAATTGCGTCGATTGTTTAATATTTAAAGCAGGAGTCACTTCGCTGGCGTCCAGGGGAAATATTGAAAACGTTTGTGCAGCGTGTTTGCTCTCAACAGCCGGCTCGTAGAAATATAATAAAACGTGACGGCGGCAGTGGCGGATAAAAAAATCTCCGCGTGCAGAACGAAACAAGAGGAAAAGAGATGCTAATGGCCAATGAGAAAACGTACATCTCGTGCGGCTATTATCCACGATCCTCGGCGACTAGTTGGCACAATAAAAGCGAGCGAAAACATCGAACGCCGTGGAACAAATAGAACGTGCGGCGGCGGCGGGGGCTGTAAAACACAAGGGGGTAGCGTTCGGGGGACGTGCGTTCCCCTCGGGCGCGCCGAATTTTCCTCGTAAACACATTCGCGTCATGTGAAAACGACAACAACTGCGCGCCGAGCTCGAAAAACAAGCTTTCAGACTAACGATGACACTTGACCCAAATATCAAACGCCTTCAAAACAATCTTCCAAACAAACCGATTACGTATTTTTCTGTCTTACGCGCAGAGACGGGAGTTTTTAAAGGGCAAACAACAAAAACACTAGAGGAGTGCTATTGTTTTAAAATAAGAGCCGTTATTTAATGAAATTTGAGTCAAAAGACGCAAAAATTGAATATTATGTATCAAGTGCGCTAAGTAGCACTTTAACCACGTTTAGCAACGTGCTGCTTTTGCTATTTTTCTACTTCCACTTTATTTCCACGTTTAGTTTTTGTATTTGAATTTTTTATTTAAAAACCGTAGGAAAATGCACAGGCGCAGGCTCCACCCCGTGACTAAAGAACTTTAGTCATGGCCTTGACCGTCTGTGGTTAAAATGCAAGTTTTTGTATCTCAAAATAGTTAAAAAGTAGAAAATACAAATTTTTTAAAACAAAACAAGAAATATTTTGATCATCAAATTTCCAAATGGATTTCCCCCGAATAGAAATTGATGAAAATGAACGGTATCGCTGAATAGCGCATTCGGCCGAATCCAAAATCAAGCGCACAATGCGATATATTTCAAAAGATGTCGGCCGCGCCCGCTGTGGGTTTTAAAAGGTGTCAAACAGACGCGAGGTGTTTTGTGCTTGGCGTGATCGTTACGTCTCTTTCAGCGTTTCTGCGCGCCCCGAACTTTTATCCAATTTGACATCGTTATACTCGTTACCGTCGCGCCGCGGCGAGGACAAAACCAGACAAGCCACACACGCTGAAAGTTGAACGCGCCAGGATATAAAGTGTTAATGTGCTTGTGGACTTTCTTCAGTTCCCAGCTTGTCAATAAACGCGCCGCCGCCGGCCGGCAACATATCGCACGACTATAAAGCGCACTCGATCAACGCGCGAGAGAGCAAAACCGACGCCACCGACGTCACCAGGACTTCGACAAGTCTAAGACTTGGTTTAACCCCACAAACACACCCACACACAAATCAATCGACGACTTATGTTCACATAGAAAACTTCACGGGAAATTGTGCCGTCGAATGCATCACGGAATAAAATATAAAACTAAATAATACACAATGCCGAACAAAGAGAGGAGGGAAAAAAATTTATATCGTGGAAAACATGGAAATGCCTTGGCAGACGTTGTGGAATGTTTCATTTCGGAAACGTCTCGCGACACAATATGAAAACAACGATGCATTAAAGTTGCATTCGTCAATTTGTCAAATGAAACAAAAGACTTTATTTGTGAGTATGAAAATACTCGACGATAAAAACGCTTCTTACCGCATTGACGGCTGTCATGTCCTTCGGTGCTGGTTCCGATTCAGCGGCTAAACCATCATGCTGCGAACAAAGAAACGCACAACATCAGAGACACATCACTGGATCATCAAATACACATCGACATAAAAGTGTGCGCGCGAGATGTCGCCGAAGACGTTTCACGATTTGCAAGATTTATGGAGTTAATCGTGAATATTTAACGTCAGGACGAATGCAAAGTGGCGTCATCTCAACGTCGCTCTTTCATTTTAAATCCCCGCACACTTTATGTTTGGCGTTTTATGTTTCTACTTCCGCATGCTTATAAAATTATAGTTTTTGACTAATGTGGATGCGTTTATGTCCCAAGGCGTGTATTGTAGTAGCATACACAACAAAATAAATCAGTGGCGCGCATTTTCGAATGTGTGTTATTTGTAGGACGTATTTAAGTCTTCGCGCAACACGGTTTATGGCGTTTTTATAGGGCGGCAACATCTGCCGGCAGTAAATTCTGCTATAATGTGGTTTCGTTTATATCGTCTCCCTTCGTGTTTGATCCTGGTTGTCATTTTAAGCGTCCTTATCCACCGCCAGCACTCAAACTTGCGCTCAACGTCCTAGCGATCCGACCCGCATCCAAACTTTTGCCCGCAACTTTCTAACCTTCGTCTTTTTCTTCTTGGGCTGCCTACACTTAGCAGCCGAAACGATAACAGCTTCCTAATAAATTCAAGTCTTGGGAAATAATTTTAATATTTGAGCTTCAGATGGCGCAGTTATATTTGCATATGAAACTTTTTTTGCTGGATTTATTTTTGTTACTTTCGAATTTTTTGTTCATGGCTTTTGGGACTGTTATAAGCTTTTTACAACTTCGACAGCTACATCAAATTAAAGGGCAACTCTTTCACTGTAAGATATTAAAAATTGCATTCAGATTGGGCTCTTGGTTTGTAAGATAGTAAGTATTGTGATATGTATGTTTTGACAATTTTTGAATAGTGTTACAGTTTTAAGGCACATTTAGGGCTGTTCTGACTCCTCTTAGGGCTTCAAATATATAGAAATTAAAAGATCTACTCTTCTATTATAAAATTTTGTAAGTTGCATTAAAATTGGACCATTAGTTTATTAGATACAAGGTGTTTTCTAGCATGTGTTTTTAAAATTCTTATAACATGACTAAGTTTAAGGGCACATCTAAAACTGTTCTAGCTCTTCTGGGGTATGAAAATATATATCAAACAAAAGAAAATTTCTTTCTCTATAAGATGTTAAAGACTGTTTTAAAATAGGTCCCTTAATTTACAAGATACAGGCTGTTTTTAAAATGACTAACTTGAGGGGCCGTTTTAAGGCTATTTAAAGCCTTTTAGAATATTTAAAGTTATGCTGAATTAAAGGTATGCTCTTTCGCTACAAAATGCTATGTACTGCATTACGATTGGACTTTTGCTTCGCAAGATACAGGGTATTTTCTACCACGTCTTTTTGAAATTGTCAAAATATGCATAGATTTAATGCCATTTTAAGGGCTGTTTTAAGCTTTTCAGGGAGTTTTAATGTATAGAATATAATAGGACCACTCTTCCACTATTAAATAAAGAAGTTTTCATTGCGATTGGACCTTTGGTTCCCAAGATATAGACCGTTTTTGTGAGCATGTTTATAATTTTTGCAAATCGTAGGAGTTTTTAAAACAGTTTTTAGGACAGTTCCGGTCTGTTTAAAAGGACAACATGATAACCATTTAAAAGTCTAATTAGTGAACTACAAGTCAATGCAAACATCTTTTGAATTGGACCTTTTGTTCGCAAGATATAAGCAGTTTTTAATTGCTTGTTAAGGGAATTATTCGAACAATATTGCTCTGAAATACATAGAAACCTCAGCGAAATTTACAAATTCGTGCAAAGATCGGTAAAAATATTTCAGCCTCCTCGCACATTCTGCTATCCTAATATTCAAAATCATTTCAAGCTTTTCATTTCAAGCCAAAAACGGAAGTCATGCTTTAAAATTCATCAAAAATTGACTCTTTGTATTAGGATCCCAGAATATGTGTGGAGGCTGAAATATTTCGACAGATTTTTCTACTATTTTAATAAATTTCACCACGGTTTTTAAATTATAATTTCACATGTGATATGTTTGAAATATATACTTTCAAAATGGCGTATTTTGACGCTAGTGATGATTGTAATAGTACCGGTGGGTACTTTGATTCGTGGCGTAATTTCATTTTTCAATTTGTGAGTTATGAGCCAAACGTCGAATCGCGCCTCGCGCTCGATTCTCTCCGAGAAAATGAATTACGTGTGGAATTTCACATTCGTACGGAGTGATGCCGGTGGAAAAATCGGGAGCTTTCAGGTGGCTGCTGGAACCCGTGGAGCGGTAGCGCGCGTTTCCGGACCATTAAAACGCGCCGCGCCCGTTGCCACCCTCTCGCCGGCGCGTCCTGAAGAGCATTCGGCCCTATTTTCTTACATTAACGTTCACGATTGCGCTCGACGGCGCTTTTTTTCCGCACCCAGCGCGCGCGCCCATTCTTCGCGATTCCCTTTTCCGCATCGCTTTCGTCCACTTTCCGCTTACATTTCTCACACGCCGCTCCTCCTCTCAGAGCAAACGGGCGCAATTTTTCATGTGCACATCATCATCGTCGGTCCTAATAACACCGCGCCGCGCAACGTAAGCCGAAAACTACGATCGCACAGCAATAACATTCACCCACCCATCTTAGAAAACATTCTCGCGGCGCCGCCTCCTCTGCCGCGCTTCAAAAATTAATGCGATATATAGTTACGCGAAATTGAAATTGCCCGGGCGTGTATATTGTTATTGCTCTTGTGCGCGCGCGTTATTAAATGCTTGTATCGCTTTACTTCAATTTTCTTCATGGCGCGCTTTATCGCCACGGCAGCAGCGGACAACATATTCCGTATACACATGGCGAATTACTGAAACGCGTACCGAATGCTTACATAGGATGAAAGCGTAATAACAATGTGCCCATGCCGCTGCCCCCAGCCCCTCAGCCGGTTATTACAGTCGGGCGTGTATTGTTAACGGCCCTCCGGTAATTTTTATACCGCCATGTTCTATTTTCATGCTTTCATCTTTCCATTCCTCCTCGTCGTGTACGCGCGCTGGGAAATAGCATGTTAATTAAAATTAAATTTGACTCTAAAGTGCACCAAATTGAAACGTCCAAAACGAGTTCATATTATTCGCCACGTTTTCAATAACATGTCGGCGCAGGATGCAGAGAATGAAACATTTTTCAAATTGAAAATACATATTTTAATTTAACTTTCAACTTCAGCCAGTGTTGAACGTACCTGTGCTTGTCAGTCAACGTATAATTATCTGTCATCATAGGGAACAAATAGTTTCATATTATATAGTGTCGTGTTTATTTTATAAAAATTCAATTTTTGAATATTTAAATTTTTAGATTGGGTTTTAAACTATATTGACTCTGTTTGATGTTGGTGACATGTATAAAGTAGGTCTATATGCATTGATGATTACAAATAAATATAAAATTGGAAATTTGGTGTGGATTTTTAAAAATATCATCAATTTGCAAAAACAAGCAAATTAATTAAAATAATGTTTTTGTCGTTATTTTTAGTATTTTTCAGAATAAAGAAATTTGTAGTTTTTAATTAAATAAAAAACAAAAATAGAAAAGAGAAAAAACGTGTTTTTGGCGATTTTTTCCATTTACAAAAGTTTTTGAAAAAAATTAGATTTTTTTGCAAAAAATTGAATATCTCCGAAAATATTAAATGTACAACAGTAACCAATATACTCTATTATTAAGAAATTAATTTTCGATTGTATTAAAAAAGTTATAATATTTTTTTTCAAAAAAAAACATCAAAAAAGTTTTTTGCAAAAATTATTTTTTTGGATTTTTATATAAGTTATTTTATATTATAACATTATCACATCGTCAATGTCATAAAAACAAAAAAGTTGAAGAACAATAAAAATTAATGTCACGCAGTTGAACTCACGAAGAGTCCTGCGAAGAAGTCCCTTGCGATTTTAATCATCACAATGAATAACGCCGCTCCAAGCGGAATTTTTATGACTGCGTTGTTCACAGTTCACAGTTCACACCAAAACTCACAAAACAAACAAAATATAAACCTGCCTATATATTTAAAAATAAAGTTATTAATCATTAATAATAAAATTGAACGTGTCTCGTGTTTAACTTTCTCCAAATTCGACCGGAATTAAATGGCTGTGCTCCGGCCCCGGGGGCGGCCAAAGTGAAAAGTTAAAACATTAAAATCTTAATTAGGCCAGCCGCCCGAATCGGAATTGTGTACCCTTGTTAACGAACGGGGCGCCATTCGCTTCCACTCAAATGCAAATAAATTGTAAAAAGGGAGCCGGCGCGGCTTAAATAGGGGAGAATGAATTGGCCTTTTTGCGTCTGCTTTTTTTCCTCACAAGAGGAAAAGCCACCCTTTCCGGGCCGGGGTTGCATTGCATATATACGCGTACGAAATTATGTAAGTGCGCGGGGCAGGAGGGCACGAGGGCGGCGCGCACAATAAACGTTGCGAACACGAAAATTAGACAAACGAAAAGGCCGTGCGCGCCGAGGAAATCCCGGACACCTATTAACTTTGTTCAAGAGCGCCGAGCGAATCCGCGTCCGCGTTGGGATCGAGGTCTTATTACGATGTTATGGCGTAGTGCTAGTAAAATGCTTCGAGCATGTTTTGCGTGCGATGGAGCGTGGCGTCGGAGTCGGGATGCTGTTTTGATGCAACGATTCGTTTCATCGGAGTTTAATGAACATTTTATGGGTCGGGGCTTTTCGAGCTTCATTGGGCTGTTATTCATTTTAATGTTCAAATTGAAAAATTACTGCTGGCTATATACTTTCAAGTCAAAAATTACAAAATTAACTTAATATCTTCAAAATCAGACAAAACTAAATTTTGAAATTTTGCGAAAAAATGGTTTAATTCATAATCTACTAAAGTATTTAGTTTTCGGACGTTTTTATTTGAAAATTTTTGAATAAAATTCTGTTTGTCTATTTGTCT